ATTTGGTTCTACAGTAGTGCTACACGTGGATCATTTGATTGCTGACCGGGGTTCCTCTATCTATCTCTACAGACAGAGCTACAGGGTCAGCTCTTTAGAACCTGAACCCTAAACCCCAAACCCTACACCTTACACCGCTTTTGGAGCTCCCGCCATAGTATGGCCTCGTAGACATGGCTGCAAACACTTAGAATCAGGGGCCGCCACTATGCAGTCAGGGTACTCAGAATGGGGTTTAGGGTTGAGGGTTTAGGGTTAGGGTTGAGGGTTTAGGGTTTAGTGTTCAGGGTTTAGGGTTGAGGGTTTAGGGTTTTAGGTGGGACCTCTTTCTCCTGAGGGCCCTGACCTGCGCCTTTCGTGGTGTGGCCCCTGAGCCCGAAGCCCTAGACGCGCTTTCCCAGTGAAGGAGACCATGAAGAAGAAGACCGACACGCTGCTGCCGAGCGACGAGGAGGAGGCAAAAGACTTTGTTGTACTCTACTGTAACTTTAGATCCTTACCTTTTTTGGGTTTATTGGGCTTCTTATTAAGGCAGCTAAACGTTTAATTTATAGCTACCCTCCTGAGTGCAGCCAAGAAGAGAGAGACCAGTGAAAGGTTCGTTTGGGCTCTGGGGCTGGGGAGTCGGTCACTTTATGCATTGCTAATATCAGATCCTAGCTTTTGGTGTTCTTTTCGTGGCGATCTTGCGAGTGGACCTCCAAAACCGAACGTACCCTTGTTTAGGGTTTAGGTTCCCTTGTTAGCCCCCTAAAAAAACAGAAAGGGCACCCTTTTTATTCAAAGGATACTTTTGGCTCTAGCAAGGGACCCCTAATAAAGACTCCCCACATAGTAGGATCCCCTTAGAATAAAGACTCCAATAAGGCACCCCTAGATTCCGAAACCCCCATCTAGGAATTCTTTCTCAGAGCGTTTGCAGGGCCAACCTGGTTAGTAAGCCTCAAGCTCTTCGGCCCCTCGAAGCCTATAAGCTCCTTGAATAACCCTCTACACCCTAACCCTAAACCCTAAGCCCTACACACGCACACACACTCACTCTAAACCCTAAGCCCTAAAGCCTAAGCGCTAAACCCTAAACCCTAAACCCTAAACCCTAAACCCTAAACCCTAAACCCTAAACCCTAAACCCTAAACCCTAAACCCTAAACCCTAAACCCTAAACCCTAAACACTAAAACCTAAACCCTAAACCCTAAACCCTAAACCCTAAACCCTAAACCCTAAACCCTAAACCCTAAACCCTAAACCCTAAACCCTAAACCCTAAACCCTACACACACTCGCTCTAAGCCCTTAACACTAAACCCTAAGCCTTAAACCCTACACACACACACACTCAGTCTGAACCCTAAACCCTAAACCCTAAATCCTAAACCCCTAGAACAAAACCCTAAACCCCTAGACAACAAACCCCAAACCCCACACCCCACACCCCAAACCCCAAACCCCAACCCCCAAACCCCAAACCCCAAACCCCAAACCCCAAACCCTAAACCCTAAACCCGAAACCCTAAACCCTACACCCTAAACCCTAAACCCTAAACCCTAAACCCTCAACCCATAGAAAATAGACAACCCTAGGAAAACCACTGAGGAGGTCGCGCCTGCCCCCGACACCCCGCAGCGGCCGACCTCGGCGACCTCAACCTCTGTCGCCTCCGTCGGGTGCCCGGAGTACCAAAGGGTTTAGGGTTTATGGTTTAGGGGTTTGGGGTTTAGGGTTTAGGGTTTAGGGGTTTAGGGGGGTTTCGGGGTTTAGGGAGTTAGGGGTTTAGGGGTTTAGGGGTTTATTGAAATTATTCAGGGTCCAGGTCCGGGGAAAGTTTCGAGGAGTTTCGTTTTTTGGATTTTCGAATAATTTCAAGTTACAGGGGGCTTGAGGGTTTAGGGTTTAGGGTTTAGGGTATAGGGTTTAGGGGGTATAGGGTTTAGGGGTTTAGAGTTAGAGGCTACGAGGTGCAAGCTCGACCCCTTCCTGAAAACGCATCGCAGCCCTCGGTATGGGAGTGTTGGTAAACTTCCTAGAACCTCAAACCCAAAATCCCTTGTGGTTGACGGTTCCAACCCTCCGCCCTACTTCCCTAAACACTAGGCCGCCCCTAGGCCCCAAGACCCGAGACTCTTCGACCCCTAAACCCTCCCCTGCACGTAGAAACCGAAGCCCCAGGCCCGAAACCCGAAGCCCTAAACCCTAAACCCTAAACCCTAAACCCTAAACCCTAAACCCTAAACCCTAAACCCTAGCCCCAAACCCTAAACCCTAGCCCTAAACCCTAACCCTAAGTCCTAAACCCTAAACCCACAGCTCTCCGTTCGCTCTCCGTTCGCTCAGGATGCTTCCTCCAACACGCGGAAGAGGAAGGGCAGCAAGAAGAAACGAGGGAAGCCACGGCCCTGGTTCCACAGGGTTTAGGGTTTAGGGTTTAGGGTTTAGGGTTTAGGGTTTAGGGTTTATTTAGGGTGCAGGGTTTTAGGGTTTATGACGTGTTAGGGTTTAGAGCTTGGCGTAGGCTCCAAGGCTTGTTGGGGGTTAGGCTCCAGGGTTTCTAGGGTTCAGGGTTGACCAGGGTTTAGGAGCCGGGGGGGGGGGGGGGGGGTAGGGTATTTGGTATTCGGCTTGTGGGACTTCTTGGGGTGATGGGTTTAAGGTTGGCGGTTTAGGGGTCTAAGGTTGGGGATCTTCTTCAGTGTTTAGGAAGAAGCGGTCGAGGGCAAGTAGCAGGTTTACATGGCCTTTGGTGTTACATGGCAGCTTCCAGACAACCGGGGTCCCCAACTGGGGTCCCCCATTGAAAAATTCCGCAAAACAATTTTGTTGAATCCCTGTCGACTTTTGGTTCAAGGGGCATCCCTAAATTTCCGGAAGCTCCCATCGTCTTTGCCTCTAAACCCCAAGCAAGCCTCCTCTACCCCTCCGCCCAGGAAGGGAGAGGATTCCCAAGAGCTGTCTGGAGATGGGCAGGCGATGAGGATTGTTTAGGGATTGAGGTTTCAGTGGAGGGTCTAAGTTCCTTGGGCCTCTTCTCAAGGCCTCCGGATCCCTAGACCCTAAATCCGAACCCTCCAGGGTTTGTGGTTGAAGGTAGTGACAATCAAACCTGAAGGGTCACGTCAGGCTCCTGACTTTAGAAAGCAATGGAAGGGGCGCTGCTGCTCCTGCCACGTCAGCCTTCCGCTTGTGATTTGGGATGCCTCAGCCTATGCGCTACTGGGTTAGGGCCTTGAATGCTAAACCATGGTGTCAACCCCAAAAAGACCCAAAACAAAAGGTTCCGAGTTGTTTTTCAGTAGGGTTACGAAGCCCCAAGAGAAGGCGATACCCAGCTGCAGCAATCGGTACACAACTTCCAGCAGCAGTGATAGTAAGTACCCTTGTACATGGATCTATCCTCTGGTTCTTAGTACTCTGGTTCTTAGTAGGGAATGAGGGAATGAGGCACCCTAAATAGTCCCCTAAAGGTGTATGTATATATATATATAGGGCCCTAATTCCCTCATCCCCTAGTAAGAACCAGAGGGTCCGGCAAGAAGTCTGCTCGTAACCCTGAAGCGCTGCGACGCTAAAGCCTTGGCTAACCACCCAAAAAGGCCAAACAAAACAGTTTAGGGTTTAGGGTTTAGGGTTTAGGGTTTAGGGTTTAGGGTTTAGGGTTTAGGGTTTAGGGTTTAGGGTTTAGGGTTTAGGGTTTAGGGTTTAGGGTTGCCCTGTAGGCCTAGAGCCTGAAGCCTCAAACGCTACCTTAATGCCCTAATTATCAAACACCCCTAAACTTGAATCCTCGCATCAGGCCTTCAGTTGCCTAGAAGCCCTCAACCGCGTCTTCGGCTTGAGGGTTCTAAATCCGGTTTTGGAAAGGGAGTTGATTCCCAAAATGGTCTAGCGGTGACCTGCTCAACGCCTACAGCCCCTGTTCCCTAACAACTATCTAGGACCTCAGTAAACTGTACAGGTGACAGGGTGTGCAGGGCTTAGGACTTGTAGGGTTTCGGGCTCAGGCTTCCCGAAACCTTAAACCCTAAACCCTAAACCCTGAACCCTAAACCCTGAACCCTAAACCCTAAACCCTAAACCCTAAACCCTAAACCCTAAACCCTAAACTGTGGAGTTTTGTTGCTGGAGGCGACGTCACCGGAGGACTCGCGAGAGACGCCTGAGGTCCGGCGCATGCCTTTCTTTCCGGGCTCACGCAAAGCCCCCTAAACCCTAAACCCTAAACCCTAAACCCTAAAGAACCCTAAACCCTGAAGAACCCTAAACCCCAAAGCCTACAGCCTAGAAGTTAGACAGGCAGCATTCGTAGAGTCACTGTCTGAGGAGGCTGCACTTTCACCCCTATATAGGGTTTAGGGCTTAGGGCTTATAGATACTTGCCCGATGATAGCCTTACTATCGGCAACCACAACTATCAACCCTGTACCTTCTAAACCCTCAACCCTAACTTAAGATACTATTTGCTTGAGAACCTTCCTATAAGGGCAATGGTACATGTATATATATATATATATATGTATATGTTCTTTGATTTATTTACTTATGTGTTTTGTTTTTTTGGGGGGGTTCTTAAGGTGGCCCTAAACCCGAAACCATAAACTCTAAACCCTGACCTAGCAGTCCCCCTAAAGCTGTGCAACCGTAAAGCCCCGAACCCTGCAGACCTGGCCTTGAACCCTGAACCCAACAGCTTTAGGGGTTTAGGGTTCGGGTTTAGGGTTTTTGTGCTTGGGGTTTAGGGTTTGGGGCTGAGCGTTCAGATCCATGAAAAGCCCCAATCTCCCCTGGCATGTAAGCCCGAAATAAGCCCCCCCCCCTCCCCCCTCGAAAACAGTGCCTGAGAGCCCCTACCCTCAAAGTCCCTCAACCCTAAACCCTCAACCCTAAACCCTAAACCCTAAACCCTAAATACCCTCTTTGGGCTCGAAGGACGTTGGCTTTTGCCCACAGGCCGCAGAGAAGGCAAAAAACTCCCTCCGTCAAACTGGATCCCGGTGTTCTCAAGCCATGGGAGCAGGCACTGACACCGTGGACAAGGACTCTCAGAGCTGGTGGTTTAGGTTTTAGGGTTTAGGGTTTCGGGTTCAGGTCTAGGGTTTAGGGTTTAGGGTCTAGGGTCTAGGGGTCTAGGGGTCTCGGGTCTAGGGTCTAGGATCTAGGGTTTAGGGTTTGGTTCGGGGTCTAGGGTTTGGGCTTTAGTACCAGGACCCAGAGTAGGCCCTTGTTCCCCCTTTTCAGGGTAGAGGTTCCCTCATAAACACGTTTAAACCAAAAAAAGGTACCCTGACATTCTTCCTGGGTTGCTCTTGGGTCTGGTTTTAGAGTTCTAAAGTAGGGCTTCAAAGGGCTGCAGAGCATGTCGGGTCTACAGGGCTTATGGAGGTCAATCGGGTTTGCAGGGCTTCCGGTGGGCCGGTGGGTTTAGGGTGTTCAGAGGCAAGCCATTGGGTTGCTCTGCCCGCTTGGACCCCACCCCCCCTCCTGTTCACTTCAGAAGCCTGCAGTCCAGGTTTTCCAGGCTGGTCGGGCTTCGGATGGTTTAGGAGGCATCATGCACCCGCTGCCCACCCACCAAGCTCCAATGCCCCACTGCCCTAGACTAAAACCTTAAACCCCTAAACCCTAGAAAGCTTTGAAAGGTTCCCAGATGTCAGGCTCATTCTGCGGAGTGGAAGCCCCCCCAAAACAGGACCCTGTTTTGGAAAACAGCCCTCCAAATGCCATCTTCCCTAGACCCCTAAACCCCAAAGTCTAATGTTAAGAGTGTAGGTTCTGGACATGGGCCCTTGGATCTTGAAAGATACATGCAGGGTATAGGGTTTAGGGTTTAGAGTTTTTTGGGCACATAGCAAGTATACAAGGACCCATCGCGAACCACAATTGTTAGGGGCCCTGATTCTGGGCCTATGAGTTGATCCCTGGACCAAGAGGACAGCGTTTTCGCCAACTACAAGTCGGTGTTTTCGCGCCAGTTTGCCGTCTCGTTGGCTGTGGAATTTCTTGGCGTGACTCGGTCGTGTTTGGAGTTTATAGGGTTTAGGGGTACCCCTTCCCTCCGCGTTGGTTTCTGTGTAAACCGCATGAACCCTCAAACCCTAAACCTTGAAACCCCCAAAGAAAGTGTCCCCTTCCTTTGCTGCGGCTGTTGGCAACCCTAAACCCTAAACCCTAAACCCCAAACCCTAAACCCTAAACCCTAAACCCTAAAACAGGACCTGGAGTGGACCCTTGTTCCGTTCTTTGAGGGTTCGGCTTCCCTTCTCAGCACCTTTAAGCCAAAAAAAGGCACCCTGATTTTATTCCTAGGGTACTCCCGGGTCTAGAGAACCAAGGTGATGTTCTTCCAGATTCTGGGAGGCACATCTGCTCCCAAGTTCGCCCCCTTTGTGAATGGCTTCGCCTTGGCCGTGTGGATCCTTCTCTTGGCCATTGGGCCATTGGGAGATTTGTTTGTTTCAGGTTGGGATGTTCCCCCTTGTAATCGCAGTCCTTACTAGGGATTCTCAATACGGGGTACTAGAATCCCAACTAAGGACTGTTAGTATAAGCCTGGGGGATACTCCCAAGCTTCAGTGTGAATTTGTTTTTGGTGTTGGGTTCCAAGACTTTTGAGGATGTCATCACAGTGCTTGGATAACGAGAGGTCCCCAGACAACCCCAAGACTCCTTAATCTAATGAATAGCCCTAAACCCTAAACCCTAAACCCTAAACCCTAGACCCTAAACCCTAAACCCCACTTAGATAAAATGGTTCCTTCGTTACATGGGGCTCTGTGTACAAATCACTCAACAAGTTAAGACCTCAAACACAGAGGATCTACGTGGCTGCAAACATCAGCGGCGGTCACCTGAACCCTGCAGTGAGCTTCAGCACTGCCGTCTGCGGCTTCTATCCCCTCATGCACACGATCGTCTACATCGCCCTACAGATACTGGGGTTGCATTTGGGAGGGGGGGGGGTAGAATTTAGGGGGTTTAGGTCCGTCCCCCGTATGAAGCCCTCTGAAACGCAAAAGGGTACCCTTGTTTGTGCCTAAACCCTAAACCCTGAACCCTAAACCCTAAACCCTAAACCCCACATACTCTGGAATCTAGCAGAGTAGCGCCTTGGGGGGGGGGGGGGGGGTTAGGCTGGGTCTGCACCCAAGGATCGCGGGCGCTGTCGCGGGTGCCTGGGTATCTTCTGGGCTGGTTCCTGGCGCGGGTGACCTCGTTCGCACGGGCGCCAGCGGGCCCGGATGCTTTGACCACACCACCATCCACCCGGACATCACCGACGCGCAGGTAGGGCTCCGCAAAGCAGGAGGTCGACCCTGAACCCTAAAACCCTAAAGCCCAAAAACCCCAAAAACACATGGAACAAACAAACAAACATGAAAACCGTAAACCCTCAACCCTACAGCCCCAAAAAGACCAAAACGTAAACAAGAACACCCCTAAACCCCTAAACCCCTAAACCCCGAAACCCCTAAACCCCTAAACCCCTAATCCCCTAATCCCCTAAACCCTAAACCCTAAACCCCTAAAAACTCCAACCCCTAAATCCCCAAAAGCCCTAATCCAGGTGTTTGGCTGGGAGTGCGTGATGACCTTCACCCTGATCTCTTGCGTCTACGCCTGCGGCGTGGCCAAGCCAGGCCCGGCGTTTACAGGGAGTTTTAGGGTTTAGGGTTTAGGGGTTAGGGTTAGGGAGTTACAGGGAGTTGCAGCCTAGTAGTAGACTGGGTAACCTTGAACCTTGTTGAGGTAGTAGAATCCCCTTAGATTCCCAAAGGTTAACCTTTAGTTCCCCCCCAGGTTGCTGGACAACTAAGGCAGGGAGTTACAGGGAGTTCCAGGGAGTTACGTGGAGTTGCAGGAGTTACAGGGAGTTACAGGGTTAGGGTTTCGGGTTCAGGGTTTGAGGTTTGGGGTTTTGGGTAGGGTTTAGAGGTTTGTAGGGTCTTTGTAGGGTTTGTAGGTTTTAAGGGTTTACAGGGTGTTTAGGGTTCAGGCTACCAAGCCCTGCACCCCTAAGTTGCGTGCTTGTGGCACCGAGCTTTCCACTTCCAAGCTGCTGCACCATGTCACCCTAAATCATTCAGGGATCCTTAATAGACCTTCAGGTAAATCCCCAGGATGGCCCCAAAAACCCTGTGAAAAAAACACAAAAATCCTAGGCCCTATGAAGGTAGCGCAGCACCAGTTCCCCAAACAAGGGCGCAGGAAACCCCCAAAGCCTAATCTTTGTGGCCCTAATCCCTCGAGCCTTACATCCTCGGACCCCAAACCCGAAACCCCTAAACCCTAAAGGTCCCAAACCCTAAACCCCTAAACCCTAAACCCTAAAGGTCCCAAACTCTAAACACAACACCGAACCCGGCACAAGTTCAGGCGAATAGTAACTTCAGGTGGGGCATCGCCGCCTTTCTACCCCCTTTCGAACCTTTTGGGCAGCCAGATCAAGGTATCTTTTAGGGTATGGGGTCCTTTAGCAGGGAAGAAGAAGAAGTAGTGGTAGTAGTAGTAGTAGTAGTAGTAGTAGTAGTAGTAGTCGTAGTCGTAGTCGTAGTAGTAGTAGTAGTAGTAGTAGTAGTAGTAGTAGTAGTAGTAGTAGTAGTAGTAGTAGTAGTAGTAGTAGTAGTAGTAGTAGTAGTAGTAGTAGTAAGTAGTAGTAGTAGTAGTAGTAGTAGTAGTAGTAGGTAGTAGTAGTAGTAGTAGTAGTAGTAGTAGTAGTAGTAGTAGTAGTAGTAGTAGTAGTAGTAGTAGTAGTAGTAGTAGTAGTAGTAGTAGTAGTAGTTGTTGTTGTTGTTGTTGTTGTTGTTAGGTACCTCAATCCATCTAGTAGACCCCTTTAAGTGACTACGTAGGGTACCTACTCTCCTAGCAACAGACGCTGGACAGAGGCCACGGCAGCCACACCCCCTTCGCGGTGGGCCTCGCGCTGCTCGCGTGCGCGGGCTCCGGGGGCCAGTACACGGGGGCTGCCCTGTGCCATGTCGGCATCTCTTACTCCATGGGTACAGGGCCTAGGGCTGTAGGGCTTGGGACTTAATTACCCTAAACCCTTCACGCTTAACCCTAAGCCCTAAACCCATAGCCCAGAACCCATAAAACCCTAAACCCTAAGCCCTTAACCATCGGCTTAGGAATCCGGCCCGTGTCATCGGGCCCATGGCGGTGTTCCACTGCGGCACCGACGTGGTAGGACTCTACATCGCAGGTGCGAGTCAAGGATTTTTTTGTTCTTAGGGGGGGGGGGGGGGGGGTCCCCTAAACCCTATAAACCCTAAACCCTGCAATCCTGAGCTTTACGGTGCCCAGGGGCGTCCCTTGGCGTCCCAGAATCCCGAATCACTTGCTGGTGCAGTTGGAGAGAGGGTACATCAAGTGCCGAACTTAATCGATGTCCTGTGAAGAGCTAGTGAGATAGTTGACGTGATTCTCTTCAAGGTCCGACACCGCCCGGGTGTATCTCCAGAGTCGAGAGGTTTCACATTTCGGGGCTTAGGGTTTGGGGTTTAGGGTTAGGGTTTAGGGTGTAGGGTGTAGGGTTTAGAGTTTAGGGCTTAGGGTTTAGGGTTTAGGGTTTAGGGTGGTTTAGGCAAACCCTGATAGCTGTTTCTTCACCCTATCTGCCGGCCATGCTGGTCTGGGCCTTTGTACGTCGAATGGTTTCCGACAGCTCGACCAAAGTCCCTATATAGGCCCAAGTATTCCCTATTTAGGTACATGGCCTAAACCCTAAACCCCTAAACCCCTAAACCTCTAAACCCCTAAACCCCTAAAACCCCTAAAACCCCTAAAACCCCTAAAACCCCTAAAACCCCTAAAACCCCTAAACCCCTAAAACCCCAAAACCCTAATCCCTAAACCCCTAAACCCCCTACCCCTAAACCCCTAAACCCCCAAACCCTAAACCTAATCCCGCAAACCCCCAAACCCCCAAACTTTAAACCCTGAATCCTAAACCCTAAACCCTAAACCCTAAACCCTAAACCCTAAACCCCCAAATAGGCCAGTTCCTGGCGGCCGTTCTCGCGATGTCGGTCTTTGCCTTCGTCTCCGGTCTTGGGCCGCGTCTTGCCTTGGTGAGCTGTAGGGTCGAGGGTTGAGGGGTTGAGGGTTTAGGGTTGAAGGTTTTAGGGTTTTAGGGTTTAGGGTTTAGGGTTTAGGGTTTAGGGTTGAGGGTTTTAGGGTTGAGGGTTGAGGGTTTAGGGTTTGGGGTTAGGGTTCGGGGTCCTTGGTGTTTCAGGGTTGTAGGGTCTTGGGCTCTGGTTCCAGGATGTTAGGGTCTTAGGATTTCAGGATACTAGGGTCTTTGGCTTTTGGGGGTCGTAGGGGGTTTACGGTTTAGGGGTTGTAGGGTTTATGGAGTCTACCGGTTCAGGCTTAGAGGTTGGGGGTTTGGGGGTTTGGGGTTTTGGAATCCAAGGTCTTGAGGACCCCAAAGCTCTAAACCTACAAAATTAATCCCGTGCCTGCGCTTTGTCCTCTCTAGACCCAGGGTCGTGGGATCCGCCAGAAAATGAGAGACCCGCAATCCATCAGCTTCAGAGGACTTCATCGGGCAAGGCATGAGAACCGGAAAGTCTGCTGTCCATAGTAGCACTCTCAGACCCTAAACCCTAAAGCCTAAAACCCAAAAACCCAAGCGTCTGCTACAGCGCGACTTGCTCCAGCGCAATGCGAATCCGTGCTCGCGATAAATACCCGAAATGCACCAAGCGAGGCCAAATTTCATAACAGGCTACAGGTTTCAGGCCCCTTAATTTGGTCCCTTACCTCCCTTAACGGGTTCTGAAGTATGGGCCCTTGGGTTGAATAGGGTATATAAGGGGCATATGAGGGGTCCCCATTTAAGGGCCCGTACTGGGGGACCATGCAACTACCCTAAGAAGGCTTTCGCATTCAGGGAGCTGGGTTCCCGGGCTGAAGTTTCAGGGTTTAGGGTTTAGGGTTTAGGGTTTAGGGTTTAGGGTTTAGGGTTTAGGGTTTAGGGTTGCGGAATCCAATTGGTTATGAAAGCCCCAACCTCAAACCTGAAACCGTAAAGCCACACAACTCTAAGAATTCAACCCGAATCCCTAAGACCCCACAAAAAACCCTGTAAGTCCCCCCAAAGCCCCATAAGACCCCAAGACCCTAGAGCCTAAGACCCTGAATCCCACATCCCCAAGACCCTAAACTCTACGTGACCAAGCCCTTTTGGGTTTTTAGGGTCAGAGGGTTCAGGGTTCACCCCAAACCCTCTGCCCTGGACCCAAAGCTATGGGGTTCTTAAGGGAGGGGGGTTCGTGGGGGGCAGGTACCTAGGGGAAGCTTAGGGAGCCTTAGGGAGCAGTGGGGAGTACTAGGGAACCTTGGGTTGCATACCCCCCTTGAACCCCCCCCCCCTCCTTGGAGAACCCTAAACCCTAAACCCTAAACCCTAAACCCTAAACCCTAAACCCTAAACCCCAAACCCCAAACCCTAACCCCTAAACCCTAAACCCATTTAGAAAGCCTGCGCGCGAAAGTTCGCCCCCCAGGCTCAACCCGTGGCTGGCAAAGCGCGCCTTGAACCTCTCCTGGCCGGAGGCTGGGCTTTGACTGTAGGGCTGTCTCATAAGGGTTCAGGGTTTAGGGTTTAGGGTTTAGGGTTTAGGGTTGGGGGGTTTAGGTGTTTTGGTTTTTTGGGGTGGTTTAAGAGTTTCAGGGTTGAGGGTTTCAGGGTTGAGGGGTTGAAGGGTTTGAGGGTTTAGGGTTCAGGGTTTAGAGTTTAAGGTTTTGAAGGTTCAAGAGTTTAGGGAATGGGCTTCGGGCTTTCGAGACGTCTAGGGTTTCAACCGCTGGGACCCCGTAACTCCATTGAGCTAGGTGGCGCGTGCTTTCCTGATCAACCAGAGTAACCCTAAACCCTATACCCTAAACCCTAAACCCTGTTTAGGGTTTCGGGTTTACCCTTTTCTTGCAGCCTTCTACAAAGCGCTCCTTAACTGCCCCCCTAGGAACTAGCAATTATCTTATATCCCCCCTACATCGCGCTTTCAGGACTGCATAGGGACGCAATTTCCCGAAGTTCCCACGAGTAAGCAACCCTCAGCCAAACCCGAAACCCTAAACCTAAACCCTAAACCCTCAACCCTAAACCCTAAACCCTAAACCCTATCCCTGAACCCGAAGACACCAGTAGGCAAGCCTTGAAAGGCCGTCTACCTCTGGATTACCGGCTCGCCCCCGAGCCGACTGCAGAAGACAGGAGGGGCCCTGAGCGTTTTGTGGTTTAGGGTTTAGGGTTTCGGGTTTAGGGTGCAGGGTGTAGGGTGGAGGGGCCCTGAGTGTTTTGTGGGCTGGGGTTTAGGGTGTAAGTGGGGTCTTGGGTTTGGGGTTGAGGGTTTAGGGTTTGGGGCTTAAGTTTAGGGTTTAGGGTGTAGGGTTTAGGGTGTAGGGTTTAGTGCCAGGCTTTGCTAGGCTGGGGCGTTTTTGTTGTCTCTGGGGTCTCTTGACCCTAAGCCCCGACCTCCAAAGAACTCCTGAAACTCTAAAAAGGGGGGGCCTGGGCAGCCGACTTCAGCTAGAGGGGGGGTGGGGGGATGGTTACTGAAAGCCCCTTATGTGATCCTATCCCTGACTGAACCCTACACCCTACACCCTAAACCCTAAACCCTAAACTGCGTAAGCCAGCGAGCTTTCCTTGCTACCAGCTGCATGGTCGGGCTGCGCATTTCGGGGTGGCTTGTTTAAGGATGAGGGTTTAGGGTTTAGTGTTTAGGGTTTAAAGGGTTTAAAGGGTTTAGGTTTCAGGGTTTGGGGTTCAGGGTTTAGGGCGTCAGGTTTTTCAGGATGAGGATTTTGGGGGTGGAGTTTTGGGTTGAGGTCTCAGCCCACGTTGACATCCCCAACCCCAAAAGCCTAAACCCAAATCCCAGAAGCCCTAACCAGGGCCCTAAACCCTCAACCCTAAACCCGCTGCATGTCGCATTCGCATGGCAGCTGATTCCGCAGGCCGCGAGAATATCAACGACTTCAAGCAGCAGCTTGCCTACTCTTGGTAGCCCAGTGGTACCCTTTTCCTTTTTAGGGTTTAGGGTTTAGGGTTTAGGGTTTAGGGTTTAGGGTTTAGGGTTTAGGGTTTAGGGTTTAGGGTTTAGGGTTTAGGGGGTTCTTCAAAGTTCCCTTATACAGCAGCAAGCCCCAAAAAGGGTACCCTTACTAGGACATGCCTACTGGGCTACCAAATCCGGGGGGTTCAGGTTGTTGTAGAGTCTCAAGGTTGGAACCATGCGGCCCTTAGCATGATCCCCTACCCTTATAGGGATACAAAGTGTGGGAACTTCTGATGTATAGCGTATGTAGAGGATATATTAATATATTAATATATTAGTATATTAATATATTAATATATTAATATATTAATATATTAATATATTAATATACTAATATATTAATATATTAATATATTAATATATTAATATATTAATATACTAATATATTAATATATTAATATATTAATATATTAATATATTAATATATTAATATATTAATATATTAATATATTAGTATATTAATATATCAATATATTAATATACTAATATATTAATATATTAATATATTAATATATTAATATATTAATATATTAATATATTAATATATAATATATTAATATATTAATATATTAATATATTAATATATTAATATATTAATATATTAATATATTAATATATTAATATATTAATATATTAATATATTATTATATGAATATATTAATATAGTAATATATTAATATATACATATATATATATATATATATACATGATGGTAAGGAACCCAACTTACGTGCCATACTTGCAACCCTAGAAATAGAGCCCCGGCACGCTCTGCGTATTGGTTTTAAGCAGGGCTTGCGGGCATCGGGGATACGAGGTGCCGAATTCCCCAAACTAAGAAGAAAAACTTGTAGGCGTTTCGCTCCCAATCTCATCTAAGGGATCAGAAGCAAGAGCTCGTTCCCCTAAATCCTAAACCCCAACCCCAAACCCCAAACCTAAACCCTAAACCCTAAACCCTGAACCCTGAACCCTAAACCCCAAACAACTTCTTGTTCCAGGCAATATGCCCTCTTCTACGAGAGTGAGGGCTCCGAGGCCGGGAGTCCCCAATGCAGTTGAGGAGTTCGTTGGGCCAGGGTTTAGGGTTTAGGGTTTAAAGTTTAGGGTTTAGGGTTCAGGGTTTAGGGAGGGTTTAGGGTTTAGGGTTTAGGGTTTAGGGTTTAGGGTTTAGGGTTTAGGGTTTAGGGTTTAGGGTTTAGGGTTTAGGGTTTAGGGTTTAGGGTTTAGGGTCCGCTTTTGGTCCGACGGGTTGCAATGGGTTCAGAAAGGATGGGTTAAATCCTAAACCCTGTATAAACCCTTTAAACCCTCTAAGCCCTTTAAGCCTTATAAACCCGATAAACCCCCCAAAAACCTCGAAACCCTGTAAACGCTCTAAACCCTTCTAAACCTTCCTAAACCCTCTAAACCCTCTAAACCCCCAAAGCCCTAAACCCTATACACCCTCTAAACCCCCTAAACCCTCTAAACCCTAAACTCTAAACCCTCTAAACCCTAAACCCCCTATGAACCCTATAAAGCCTAAGCCCTCAAGACCCTCTAAACGCTCTAAACCCTCTATATAAACCTTCTAAAGCCTCTAAGCCCTTCTACAAACCCTCTAAACCCCCCTTGAACCTCCTAAACCCTAAACCCTAAACCCTCGCCAGGCACCCAAGTCCAAGATCTTTGACGTCGAGCGCTGCTTCGGCATCCGGAAGTCTGCTCCGGCCCGCGGGCCGAGTATGGTTTAGGGTTTAGGGTTTAGGGTTTAGGGTTTAGGCTTTAGGGCATCAGGGCTTTAGGGCTTCAGGGCTTCAGGGCTTTAGGGCTTTAGGGCTTTAGGGCCCAGTGGGACGTGGGTTCAGGGGCTCTAGGGGTTGTACTGTTTACGGCTTAGGGGTTTAGGGGTTGTAGGGTGTTGGGGTTGTAGGTTGCATGGTTTTTAAGACTTGGGGTTTGGGGGCTTTTAGGGGGCTTCGGACTTTGTGGTCTGGTTGCCTTGGGGCCAGCTTCTGTACCCATTATTGGATGCTTGAGTCTTCTTTGGAAATGCACAGGGCCAGGATCGGTTTCCCTACTACCCCCGGCTATACTACCCCCCTAGGATCCCGCCTTAAGTGACCTTAATTAGGCTTACTTATCCCTCAACAGGCTTCTTTATGAGGGGAACCTAGCGTAGTATAGAGGGGGGTGGTAGGGAAACCCATGAGGTCAAGGTCGTGGACGCGCCTTGAGGAAGTTCAGGGATACGAGGATAAAGCCCTAGTAGGAGCCCTTTGAGGCGCAATTCTGCGGTTCATGCTCCTGTAAGGGCTTTAGGAGTTCGAGTCGAGGCATTATGGGGCTTAAGGGGTTGGGGCCCCTAAAGTCCAGAGTCCTACAAACTCGATGTTTTCCGCCCGTTCACATGCACTTTTTGGGTCTAGAGGAGCAGATGGGGGTTTCCGAAATTCGGGGTACCGTATTGGGGTCCTTTTTGTAATAGGGGAATCCTACTATTTGAACATATGGGGTTTCCGAAATTCGGGGTACTGTATTGGGGTCCTTTTTTGTAGTAGGGGAATCCTACTATTTGGGGCACTATGTTAGGGGTCCCTATTGTCGTACCCCCCCATATATTGGGTTGCTTTACGGTGCGGGCCCAGTCAGCGCCTTTGCTCTCCTTACTGGTTTTGAGGTACTCAGTGGGGTGTTCCCCCTCATACTAACAGTCCGCCTTAGTAGGGATTATAGTACCCCTTTTTAGAATCCCTATGAAGGACTGTGAGTATAAGGGGGAACATCCCAAGAGATCCTGATATAACTCCACGTATAAGTAGGGGCACCTTCCCGTATGGGATGCGTTAAACCCTAAACCCTAAACCTAAACCCCTAAAAGTAGGGCTCCTGGGCTTCGGTTTCAGGGGCTTCGGGATAAGGGCTTAGGACCTTGAACCTTAGACCCCCAAGCCCCAAACCATTGTAGACGTCACTGAGGCCCAAACCACCAGACCGGGTTTAGGGTTTAGGGTTTAGGGGTTAGGGGTTAGGGGTTAGGGGTTAGGGTTTTGGATTTGACCCCCTAAGCCCCAAAACCACCAGACCGCACTTCAACCACCTCCACCTGAGGTGGACACTGAGACTCCGGACGTCGCCTGAAAGCGCCAAGTTTTCGCCGGACGCCGCCCGACTGGGTCTTGGTTTAAGGTTGAGGGCTCAGGGTTTAGGATTAACTTGGTGGTTCTTTGTATGGATTTCGAGATCTTAGGTCCGTTTTGCAAACCCTGAAACCTAAACCCTAAACCCAAAACCCTAAAGTATACCCCCTTTAGAACATGTTTTGTTTTAACTTTTTTACAAAACCCCAGGAAGTGTGACAAATCCATTTCTTGTCAGTAAGGTGCTTGGGGGGGGGGGGGGGGGGGGGGGGTATAGTAAACGCTAGACCCAAAGGTGAATTTACGGTTCCCCTACTACCCCTCTCTATACTACCCCCCCCCCCCCCCAAAGGGGGAGGTGCCATGCTTCCGGCTTAGGGCTGCTTCGGGGGGCGTGAGCGGTTTAGGGTTTGGTTCAGGGTTTAGGGTTCAGGGTTCAGGGTTTAGGGTTTAGGGGTTGGGGTTGAGGGTTTAGGGAAACTACCAAGGGTTTATTCGGGAGCAGTTGGTTGAGTAGACCCGCAGAACCCCTAGTAATAGCGATCCTAACCCTAAACCCTAAACCCTAAACCCTAAACCCCCCTTAATGAGCCTCGAGGCGCTGAAGGTGGAGAATGGCATGGAGTTCTGCAAACCAGCGCTTTTCGACCTCATCTTCAGCCAATTTGCCTTCCTGCCTTAGGGACCGAATGAACCCTTTAGGGTTTAGGGTTTAGGGTTTAGGGTTTAGGGTTTAGGATTTAGGGTTTAGGGGTCCATATACCCCTAGTCGGACTGATAGGGTTTACCGTAGTTTTGGCTAAACGATCCCAATTCGAGGTTCATGTGGTTCCCATGGTACTCACACCCAGAAGCGGTGATTTTGAGGGCCCGATGTGGGCCACTTACAGTTTCTCAACTCTTGAAGTTTGCTTTGTACGCGGGGAAGTGACCTAAGTTGTGGGTTTAGGGTTTAGGGCTTCGGGTGCCACTTGTCAGAGCCGCTTTTCGCTTGGGTTCCTTTTTTGTCTCGTTTACCAAGAAGGGCCTCATGACTTAGGTCAACCCTCCACGTGAATTTGAGATTATTGTAAAGTCGCTTTCGGTCCAAAGTTATACAATTCTAGGGGCAAGCAAGGTCTTGCTCGAAGCAGTGCGCGTATTGGACGAGCTGGCGATTTCATCGCCAGTCGCCGAAAAGCGTGTTCAGTAGATCCGGCCTTCCCTATAGGACTCCAAGTCTACTATTTCCTTCAAACTGCTCAAGAATGTACTACATTCTTCCTTATAAGGGCAACTCAAGGATAACTGTCTCTTTCTTTTTTTTCTGGGGGGGGGGGGTCTTAAGCAAATGGTAGAGGTTGAGATGTTCCCCCTCTAGTAGGGATTATAGTTATTTCCCCCTACTATAACCCCTACTAAGGACTGTTAGTAGAGGGGTGAACATCCCAACCTATAAGCAAATAGTAGAAGTATACATGCCCTTTTGTTATAAAGGCTGATGGCCTCTTTATCTGTTGCCCTCATACCTTAACATCGCCCCTATAGAAACCCTAATAAGAACCGAAACCCTACTTAAAGAGACCACCAACCAATATAACCACCCTAAACTCTAAACCCTATTGGGCTATGTGTAGCCCACATCAGTTTTGGGGAAATCGGGTACTCTGCGGCCCTGATCTTCTCACTGACCTTCAGAGTGCCTGCTTGTTGAGGTTTAGGGTTTAGGGTTTAGGGTTTAGGGTTTAGGGTTTAGGGTTTAGGGTTTAGGGTTTAGGGTTTAGGGTTTAGGGTTTAGGGTTTAGGGTTTAGGGTTTAGGGTTTAGGGTTTAGGGTTTAATTACAGGGTTTAGGGTTTAGGGCTTAGGGCTGTAGGAGTGGGATTTAGGGTTCAGGGTTTTTGGGGTTAGGCCTAGGTCAGCAGAACAGCTACGCCCTGCACCCTACACCCCAAAGCCCCGCTGGTTTAGGGGTCAGGGTTAGCCCGACCCATGTCTCCCCAATCGTGGGACTCGCTGGCGGGGCTTTAGGATGTAGGGCCCGGGCTTTAGGCTTTAAGGGCTGTTGAGGGCTTAAGGTTTAGGGTTTTTTGGTTTTAGGGTTTTGTGGCCCTAAGCCCTAAACCCTAAACCCTAAACCCTAAACCCTAAACCCTAAACCCTAAACGTTTCAGGGTTTCAGGCTCGAAGGGTTTTCGGCTTTAGGGTTCAGGTTTCATGCTTCGGGGTTCAGGGCCCTCCGGAACTTTTGGGAAGCCACCGGGATGGGGTTTAGGGTTTAGGGTTTAGGGTTTAGGGTTTAGGGTTTAGGGTTTAGGATTTAGGGTTTAGGGTTTAGGGTTTAGGGTGTAGGGCGTAGGGTTTAGGGTTGAGGGTTTAGGGTTTAGGGTCAGACCTGAGCCAGGCCTCAAAAACTGGCAACGATGAGAGAGGGCGTCGGGTTTAGGGTTGAGGGTTTAGGGTTGAGGGAACCCTGCTGCATGTGGCCACTAAGAGCGTGGGTAGATATCGTTCACGGCCTTGACATGCGTTCAGATTACAGTTCCTGTTTGGGGTTCCCATTAGGACCCTTTTGCTGAAACTTCTAAACCCTAAACCCTAAACCCTAAACCCTAAACCCTAAACCCTAAACCCCAAACTACCCCATAACTGACACAGCAGGGCGCCGAGACGGGCTCCAAGACGGGATCGCTGGCGCGGAGCTCAGCCGGGACGGTTCAATGTTGAGGTTTAGGGTTTAGGGTTTAGGGTTTAGGGTTTAGGGTTTAGGGTTTAGGGTTTAGTGTTTAGTGTTTAGTGTTTAGGGTTTAGGGTTTAGGGTTTAGGTTTTACAACCCCCTCCCCCTAATATTAAACCCCCCCAACACCCCCTGATACTAGATGCTCCCATGACAGTGCCATTATGGTACATGCGGAGTATTGTATGTGAGGGGGTAGAGGGGGGGTCCAGAATAGGGGGAGGGGAATTGGGCTTTGAGGCTTATGGTTGAGACTTGATCCCGGAACCATGAAATGCAATGTAAAGTTTAGGGCTTAGGGCTTTGGGGTGCAGGATCCTGAAACGAAGGTTTCCCACACCAGCCGGCCTTCCTCAATGGTGCTAGTGCGAGGAGTGAGTATATGTACTGCAGCAGGGGTGGAGGCAGGGTGGAGCAATGCATATATATATATATATGTATATGTTTGCTTCCGTAGCAAGAGCAGCAGCAGGAGCAACAATAACGTCAACAACACCAACAAAGCCAAGGACACCACGAACACAAACAACATCAATACCAGCATGAATACCAGTTTCAATACCGAGAACAAATGCCGATGATGTTGTTGGTGATGATCATGGTTATACTATGAGGATCATGATGATGATGGTGGTGATGATGATGATAATGATTGTACTATTACGACCATGATGACGATGTTTATCATGATGATAATATGGGGTTCGTGATGGTCATCATGATGTGGATGATGGTGATGACAACTTTGACTGTCCTGGAAAGTTCTCATTGCATGATAATGACAGTGTTCAAACTGACAATGGTGACGATACTAGTCAAAGCTAATTTTCTGAATTGTCCTTGCTATCGTTGCCATTCCCACTGCGGTTCCAAGAGCATTAGAGAGATGTTGGGTTTGTCGTGATGACATCTCTAGCAAGTCTAGTGGTTCTTAGGCTTTTAGGTTTAAAGGGCTTTCGAGATTGGACTCTGGTTCCTATAGCTCACCTGAAGCCCCAAATCGCCCAAATCTGCAGTGTGCGCGCGGAACCAGAAAAGCCCCTTCACCGGGAGCCCTGGTGGCACCAGGTTCCCTTTTTTCAGGCTTAAGCCAAGACTTTCTCGTTTTCTTTGCTTTTCCTGTTTCTGGGGGTGCTTAGTTAGAGCCGATCCACGTCCCAAGCCCTAAACCCTGAAACCCTGACGCCAACCCCCACCCTTCAAATCTAATCCTGCCGGAAAAGCCAAGCGGTAGATACAAAACCCTCGAGATCCTCTAGAAATCCGTATGTGTAAACCCCTCGAAGCCTGTATAAGCTTCTGTTGGGTTTAGGGTTTAGGGTTTAGGGTTTAGGGTTTAGGGTTTAGGGTTTTCTTTGACCAAGCCCCAAAAAGTTCTTCC